TACTCCAAGGGTTCAGGGGATCTCGTAGTCGAGTAGTCTCGACTAGAGCTTTCTTACTTGTTTTTTATTAATTTCCTGTGCAACAACTTTTCGATATTTTTTTCACTTAATTCGAGGTTACTTTTTCGTATTGTACGTCTTTATTGATTTGTAATTTATTATTTATTTTTAGATCGCGTTAACTCAGCATCAATAGTTCGTCAGCCATCAGACCGCAGGCTTGATGGTAACGTATCCTTTCGATCTAATGGCAATACATCTAGTAGCACCTCTGTGCTTAATAGTAGCGATTTGCAGAATTCATTTCACGCTGGTAGCAATGCCAACGAGAGTGCTACCAGTAGTGGTGGTTTAGGTATTTCAGAACTCACCACTAGTTCAGGATCCACGACTTTATCTAGTTGCTTGGCAGGCACAGTCGGTATGACTTCTCAAAGTGATTTGAATACTACTGAATCACTTGAGAGTAAGGATCTGAAGAGGGAAACGTATGTATTCATAGAACACAAACTTTAAAAAAATATTAAAACTCATTTTGCAGATATTACCAACAACACAAAAATGCACAAGTCTCAGTGAACCGTTCGGAGTCATATAAGGAACGATTATCAAATAAACGTATCCGTAATAGCCGCCGCAAAACTTCGGATCCAAGTTTATCCTCTCGTACAAAGTAAGCAAAATAAATTAAATGTGGAAAATAAGTATATTTAAGTTCAGCTGTTTTTCGATGAGCTTAACAGTAATTTTGAAAGCAGAAATTAACACTACGTTTTGAACGGCAACGGTCATTTTTTATAATATATGACGGCACAAGTGGGTCACGTCTAAATGCCATCCGTTTACTTCCGTTTCTTTATTAAACTGTCTCGCTTAATGTCAATTTAAAAGGCTATGATATTATCTTACGGACAATCCCCAACTTAAAGTCTACATTATGGATTACACTTATTGACTTGCTGCACCTCTTTGCTTTATATATGTATGCTTAGTATTCGAGCTCAATTCAATTAGAACGGAGCTGTAGCGACGCACATACAGCGCTCTGTATTTTATAAACTTACAAAGAAAATTGAATGTGTGTTTAAGTGTAATATTAAACAGACAATAATGAAAAGAAAAGTTTAGTATACTCGCAGTAAAAGTTTTAGAGATATGATTGACCTTAATTATGACAAGTAAGTTCTCTGAAGTGATAAATAAAAATATATGTTTTTTTTTTCGTGAAATTATGAAACAAAAAATCTGGAATTCACAGTGATGATCCAGGAGATATGGGCCTGTCAACTGCAAACAATACAGGAAGCTCAAGCTCTAGTCTGTCATCAGGAGGTGGCTTTGATAGTCCAGGCACATCAATGGAACAGGTCACGAGTTGTGTTGCCCTATCAACCATTGGAACCAACACCATTTCAAATGTTGGTAATTCTCATCAGCATCCGCATAAGCTCGTGCAACAACAAGCAAATCAACACAGTCAGCACGATTCTTTTCAAGGCAGCATAGGAAGTAGCAGTTGTGTCAGTAATACAAATTTCTGGAATGTCGGACAACCTCTGCAACGTCAATGGAATTTTGAAAGTGATGATGAAGATTTAAATGAAGCTGACTGGAGCTCGATAGTTCCAGTCGAGATGCTAGCCATGCTAACGGATGCTGAAAAAAAGCGGCAAGAAATTATAAATGGTAAACTTAAATAAACCGAATACTATGTTGGCAGTTTAGTTGAATTTTGATTTGTTTTGTACAGAAATTTATCAAACGGAACGCAATCACGTACGCACTCTCAGGTTGTTGGATCGCTTGTTCTTTTTGCCTCTTTTCGACAGTGGATTGCTTTCTCATGATCATTTACTGTTATTATTTCCTCCCGCACTTATTTCTTTGCGCGATATTCATGGTGCCTTCGAACAAAAACTTAAACAACGTCGCGTTGAACATAATCACGTTGTAAAATATATTGGTGATTTGCTTTCGGATATGTTTGACGGCAAATCTGGGGAAGTGCTGTGTGATCACGCTGCTCAGTTTTGTGCTCGTCAGCAAATCGCACTTGAAGCATTAAAAGAAAAGCGAAATAAGGATGAGCAGTTGCAAAAGTTGCTTAAAAAGTCAGAGTCACATAAAGCGTGTCGTCGACTAGAGCTTAAGGACCTGTTGCCCACGGTATTACAGCGGCTCACAAAATATCCTCTTCTGTTTGAGAATCTTTATAAGGTTACTATTCGAGTACAACCCGAAAATACCACGGAAGCAGATGCTATACAGCGAGCTGTTGAGTCATCAAAAAATATTCTTGTTGAAGTGAATAAAGCTGTCAAAGCAGCTGAGGATGCTCACAAGTAAGTTGATTTAAGCGCTTAAAATAAAATATTATTTTTTATATAAATACTTTATTTGAAGGCTACAAAACATTCAACGCAAATTAGATAAATCATCATATGACAAAGATGAGTTTAAGAAGCTAGATTTGACACAACACCGTCTGGTACACGATGGAAACTTAACGATGAAAAAGAATCCAAGTATACAGCTTCATGGGCTGCTTTTTGAAAATATGATAGTTTTGCTTACAAAGCAGGTAAAGTATTATCTATTATTATTTTTTGTCACTACTAAAGTATGCGTGAAACATGAACTTACATTTCTATTATTTATTTTAGGATGATAAATATTTACTGAAAAATCTTCATACACCCCTAGCAGTCATCAACAAGCCTGTAAGCCCTATAATGAATATTGACTCAGAAACATTAGTGCGTCAGGAAGCCGCAGATAAGAATTCGTTTTTCTTAATTAAGACAAAAACATCACAAATGTTAGAGCTTCGTGCTCCTAGCAGTTCTGAGTGCAAAACGTAAGTCTCTTATTATACAAATCGAATTTTTATGCCCTGAACCCATTTTCAGTGGGATATCTGGGTATATTGTTTTTTTTACAAGAATGTAACAGGCAAAAGGAAGCGTGGCAGACCCCAGAAAATATACATATTCTTGATAAGGGCCGTTTGTCTGTCTGTCCATCCGTCCGTATGTATGAACGCGTCGATCTCCGAAAATATAAGAGCTAGATTTTTTTCTTAGGTCTGTGTATATCACGAGCATATTGAGCTTTTCTCAAAAAAGTCTATAGCTTCTGCTGTTATTTTGTTATCGATTAAAGACCCTGTCGAAAATTAGTTATTACGTTATATTTCCTACATCTTTGGAGCTAGAGTTTCCAATTTCAAATGCAGATTCATATGTATATTACAGAATTTAGATTTTTGTTACAATTTACCCCCACCCCCTCACCACTACATTTTTCAAAGGCTAGAGACTTGTACTTTGGAAAAAATGTACGTAATTTAATAATACAATCACAATCTAAAACTTTCATGAAGGAAGTTGTTGTCAGGCAATGAAGTTTCCATAGTAAGCCCATACTGCAGGGCATGCGTGTAAATGCGTGCGTATCTGTGAGTATGGGTTTGCGTGAGTGGCTCATGTGTATGCATAAACACGTAAAGATGTATTGAAATATCAGTACCTCGAATGGTTCAGGGGATCTGGTAGTCGAGCAGTTCTAATGGACAGCTTTTTTACTTGTTTATATATAAAATTGTGAATAATCAATATCAAACTTACTTGTTTATAAAATAATACAAATATATTATATTATATCAAATTCAGCTGGTTTAAACACATATCTGATGCTGCTGCATATCAATATAAGCCCCGAGCTAAAAGTTCCAACAGTCAAGATGCATCTGGCGATGATTCCGTTATCCCCACCACATCACAAATACACTCCAGGGAGTCTATGGACCAACCATCTGACCGTTCACAACCAATAAACCCTACCGCAATTTCTTCTACAACGCCTTTGGCACCACTGCTCCCAATCTCTACTATGTCACCAGCGCCTACAGCTAGTATTAACTGTGACAGCAGTGATCAACAAAGTAAAAGTCGAGGCGAAAGATTGCCTACAGATAGTGAATGCTACTACAATATTATGGCCAAGCGACGCCTCAGCCAAAATGAGCCAGTTACTCCAATAAATCGAACCATGTCCACTCGTAGTTGTGGAGAGTCAAACAGTAACTACCCTACGACTAGTCAAGACATCAATTCCGTAAATTTGCGTCACACCCAATCAGCACGTGAGGCCAATAGTGAAGATCGTGGAATGATCTATGGCTTAGTAGGAGGGCAGTCAAAGCGAGATAGTGCAAGCATTGTTTGCTCGAATAATTCTAATAATACACGCACATTAATTATGCAATCACCCTTGGTTGAACCTACAGCAATTCAAATTAGTATAAATCCTGCTCACACCGCTGAACCGGTTTTGACGCCAGGCGAGAGATTACGTCGTATAGATGCTTCTATTCGGGAGAGGTTACTAGAAAAGCAGAGAATTATTTGTGATATTTTTCGTTTGCCAGTTGAGCACTTTAATGAGATTGTCGATATTGCTATGATGCCAGAAGCACCCAAAGACAGCGCTGATATCGCATTAGCTGCCTACGATCAAGTCCAGATGTTAACAGGAATTTTAAATGACTACATGCATGTGTCACCCGAGATGGAAATATCAGCCGTATCGACAGCTGTATGTGATCATTGTCGTGAAAAAGAATTACATTTTGCGAAAACATCTCCTCCACCATTACCGAAACCAAAAAAACAGCAACAAGCTCAACAGCAAACACCGCAGTTAAATAAAACAGCGAAACATAAAACGCGCGTTGCAGAGGAGGTTGCTATACATGAAGATGATGACGGATATTGTGAAATTGACGAATTGCGTTTGCCTGCGATTCTTACAAAGTCAGCAGATTCGTCAACTCCATTACCTCCAATTAATTTTGGATCAGCTACAGAATGTAATTTGAACTTACCTTCATCAAGCAACAATATTGATACAGTTGAACGAAAACGCGACATTATCGTAGACCTCCCCTCTGAAGAATGTGCTGACAAAATTCATTCAAGTCTGCGCTTTAATGTAACTAAGTCAGAAACACCAACACTTAAAGCTCAAAAATCAGTGGAAGAAAGACAAATGGAAAATATGGCTTTATCTGAGAATACCGATGTGAATCCAACCGAAAGAAACAAAACATCAAGTCAGGCCCGACAACAGATAGATGAGAGCTTTCCCACTAAAGCGCTGCAAAGCATTGAATCTACAGACAGAAGTGTCCACGATGATATAAATGACGTGTACGATGATTTGGTCAGTTCAATATAAATGATACGATATTTTCAATTTTATATAGTTTGTTACTATTTTTTTTAGGCTGCATCTAATGAGGCTCATGTATTTCAATCGATAATCAAGAGCTCGTCGGGAATAGCTCAGCCAATCTCTCCAATTAATAATGAAAAAGGATCAAGTACATCGTCCACCAATCCAGTAGGAAACTTATGTAGGCTAAACCGCATTCAGCACGCTAATTCATTAGAGCCAAGCGTTCCATGTCATGTTCTTAGCAGCATCGTAAATGTGTTGAATGAGCAAATTTCTCTATTATTGGTAAAAATAAATCCTTATTTTTTAAAGATTTTGAATCACAATACATTATATTATTTCAGCCCAAAATAAATGAACGTGATATTGAGCGTGAACGTTTGCGTAAGGAAAATCAGCACTTACGTGAACTTTTAAGTGCTATGCATGAAAGCCAGCGAGTTGATGTTGTAAAGGTAATGTAATTTCCCATATTTAATATAAAGAATTAGTTTTAGTCTTATTAATATTTAAATAATAATATTATTTTTTTTTTTTTCTTAAGGAAACTCCAACCGATATTCTAACCATTCTGCAGGCGGCTGACTCAGAATTTGATGATAGTATTGACACAATATCTAATACATCCGTAACACCGACAGCAACACCTTTACCGTCTGTAACGACCGACGACAATAATATGGAATCACGAGATCTTCCATTACATACGGAGTCAAATATTACAGAGTATGCATGCAGTACGCAAAACATTGATCGCAACCTGCGATTGCCGGACAATTCCAACGAGCAACGAGACGATCCCTTACATCCATCTAAAACTCAAACTGAGGAGCAAGACGAAGAACAAAGAATCGGATATAACTAAGTAAATTGGATTTAATAATTGGTTTGGAAAAATTTTTTATTATTTAAAAATATCTATACCTTATTTAAATCTTTTTAGCGAGCTTTTCTGCATGCGGTGGACTTACGTTAATGTAACTGCTCTACAACAGTATATTTAAAAATCGGTTTACACATAAGTCTTTTATATTCGTGTTAAACACACAAATTTTAGGATTCACACCTACTTCTTTTTCAACGCCAATGCCCAATTTAATTGGCAGCATTTGTGTTACATATTCTTATAATATGATATGACATAACTACTTGTAGTTATTTTTGCTTTACTAAGATGTACCCTGTAGTGGCTTTAGGGTGAAATAAGTTTGATTTAAAATACATATGTAAATTCCATTTAGAGACATTTAATAATTTAAAACAGCTTGTTCTTAGTTATTATGCAATGAACTTTTATTTATATGAAATATTGCGTATTTAATTGATGTAAAATACACAATAATGGCTTCATGTAAATTGCACAATGTACAATAAATTTATACACGCACTGCATTAAATGAAATTAATAATAATACAGTAAATTTGTATTTTTCCAAAACAATGTGAAACTTTTTGGCTCACTTGAATAGGTTTGAGTGCCAATTTATTAATAATTGAACGATGGTATTATGCTAACTTTAATAACCTAGACCCATTGAAAGTGGAAAATTTGGGTATAATGATTTTTTTATACCCTGAACCCATTTTCAATGGGAAATCAGGATATAATGGTTTTGTTGAAATGTATGTAACAGGGAGAAGGAGGCGTGGCAGA